TCTCTGCAAATGCAGAAGAACTTAACCTTCATTCAATCCGTTCTGCTAATGGTGGGAAACATTTGCATACTAAAGCCAGTTTAAGAGAATTCACGCCCTCCCTTTCCATACTACGATTTTCAGAATACTCTGGGGGGTGGTTTCCAGATTGATACAAATATGTCTGCAGAACATCTATGTCATAAATGCACCAAGGGTGTAAGCGTGATGAACTATCAGTGGCTGCCAAGCTAAATATTTTTCTTGAATAATCACCATCATATGTTTCAGGGTGAATTTTTTAAATGAGTAGCATCTCTCTCTCTCTCTGCCTCCCCCCCCCCCAATCTCTTTGTTTCCTCTCCATGCCCTGTCCTATGAAAGTAACTCCATTACTTTCCCCCACCTCGGTTTTCCTCCTTACCTCCATTGCTCTGCAGTAACTCAGTGTTTAACTCTGCAGGGGATGAATTTTTGGGGAAATGGTATTTTTATTCCAGTGCCCTGAATTTATTTCAGTTCAGATTCACTTTAGCAAACACCTGAAGGTTACAAATGCGACAAAAGGACTGGCTCATCCAATACCCCATTTCTCTTCAGACTTTTAAGAAGCGTTTGGGATCTACCATAGGAAAGCACTTCTGCCCGTGTTTGAATTTTTTAAACTCTCAAATACTTTCTTGCTGCTCATCCAGGAGGAGGTAAAGATATGATGAAGGCTGCAGAGTGGGTGGAGCTGTGAGGGGCAGAGTTTCAGGGCATAGGGGCAATCAAGGGGGGACAAGTGATGGCATGTAGGTCATCATGTATGTGACATCATGTGGCTTCTACTGAGCACTGCATTTTAGGGTTTGTATTACAGTTTTCATTCATATATTTATTTGTTAGATTTATATCTTGCCTTTGGTTCAAGAGCTTAGCATGCATAGATGTAGAGGAGTACAGAGATAGTCAGCTGTTATGAGAACATCAGCTTAGCCTGGAAAGTCAAGAAAGGGCAAGGAAGAAACTCAAGATTGGCCCACCTGGACTCCCTTTGGTATAAGAGGGAGGGAGAAACTCTATCAAGCTCTCAAGATTCAGTTGTTATACCCTAGAACAGCATTTCTCAACCTTAGCAACTTTAAGATGTGTGGACTTCAACTCCCAGAATTCCCCATGCTGG